TTGAGTCACAAGTATCAAGCTCCTAGGTCGTCAACTAGACAGCGATGGTGTTCGTTCAGACGAGACGATTGTCAACGTAGTGAAACATGGTTAAAAAAAAACCCGAGACTGCGGGTAAACGACACAACACTAAAAAGTCTCTGTCGTTTACCCGCAGTCTCGGGTTTTTTTCAACCATGTGCAATGTACACCAGCTCGTTTGCGCCCTTACTTAGTAAAACAGATGTCCATACCGTCTTCAGAGCAGGAAGTCAAACGCATCATGTGTATGGCGACATCTCTAGGACGATTCGTGCCAAACCCGACTGACCTACTGCCTTCACTATCGTCGCTGCTAAGCTCCAAAGTGTACTTCGTGTGCGATCATCCTCAGCAAAAAAACCTTGGCAAAGTCAAAGGAAATCCTCTCAACCTGCCCCGTTCTCGGAATTTACGACGCCAACAAAGGATCTATTGTATCGGCAGACGCGTCATCCTACGGCCTGGGAGCAGTGCTGCGTCAAGAGCACGAGGGTGGATCATATTGTGTCATCACCTATGCGTTCAGAGCACTCCCCGAAACTGAGAAGAGGTACGGCCAAATCTAAAAAAAAAAAGGTTTGGCACTCACGAGCGCATGCGAAAAAATTCAGATTATATCGTGGAATCGCACTTAGTACTGGAAACCGATCACGAACATCTAATTTCTCTGTTCGGGTCAAAGTCATTGGACGACCCAACTCTACGTCTTCAGAAACTGCGCATGCGTCTAATGCGCTGCTCATTTGAACTTGTCCACGTTTCGGGCATGGAACTCCAAGCAGCTGACTTGTTGTCAAGAAGCCCTCTTCCATAGCGACAAAAGAAAGAGATGCAAGAAAAAATCGATTGTTTCATTCGACACATAGAAATGCCCTACCCGCAACGCAAGCGAGTCTCCAATCGCTAACGGCAGAACAAAAAAAAAAAAGACCATGTTTGCCAAAGACTCGCCAGCTACAGTCATAAAGGGTGGCCGATTCGTCGATATGTCGGAACAGACCTCAAAGACTGCAACGAGTATCGTCATCACATTGCCGTGCTAAACAGCCTTCCCAGAAATGGTTTGGAATAGGGGTAGCAGTATCCTGCCGTCCACATATCGTGTAACCACTTCATGAAGGACACTTGGGCATACAAAAATGCAAAGAACGGACAAATGTATCAGTGTGGTGGCCGAGGATAAACAAGCACATCGAAACCCTGGTCAAGAAGTGGGAAAAATGCGTTCAAACTGGCAAGAACCGAAAGCTTCCCCTCAACAAGTCAGAGTTTCCTTGTCGACCGTGGCGGAGTGGTGATAGACCTCTTCTCTTTTCACGGAAAATGGTGGTTGGTCGTCGTCGACTACTACTCTGGCTACCCCGAAATCACCCGCATGGAACCTCTGACAGCAACCTGCGTAATAATGCACTGCAAATCGATATTTGCGAGGCATGGCATCCCAGAAATTGTGCTGTCCGATAGTGGTCCACCGTTTGTGGGATCCACAAGTCCAGCATTCACAAAGTTCTCACAGGCCTGCGAATTTAAGCACATCACATAAAGCCCTCGCTACGCGCAAAGCAATGGCACGGCAGAAGGTACGGTGAAGATCATAAACAGATCACTCAGCAAAACGAAAGGGCGGTGCGAGACACTCATGATCTACCGTTTAACGCCCCTGCCCAACGGACACAGTCCGACAGAACTTATCATGGAGAGAAGAAGGCATGAAACCTTACAGATCGCCACTCTGCTCCCGGAACCAAAGATTCCCGACCAAAAAGAACTGCGTCACTATAAACTAGAAAGCAGGAACCGACAAAAGCAATACCTCTACCGGCGACACGGACTGCGTCAACTAGATTCGCTGGGCTCTGGAGAGCGAGTTTGGGTCATTGTCCTATGGAGCGAACTGGAGTTGTTCAGAGCAAGGCCCATACGCCACGATCTTAGTGGATAACGTCCAAAGGTCAAAAGCTCCGAAGAAATCGAACGCGTGTGAATCCTTTCCTCGATCAAGAAGACAAACAATGCATCGAAGAGTTCCCCGCAGCAACCACGAGGCCCAAGGAAACGTGTTCCGACATCTCCCATAAACATACTCGACATGGCCGATGTGTAAAAGAGAAAGACCGTTTTGGCACTTCTTCAAAGCTCCCTTAGAAAGAGGGATATTATGGAGTCTCCGACGCTCGTGAGCTCCAAATCCAGAACGACCGAGAACCACCGTCCGCGCGGAGCCCGAGATAAACATCCGTTCCACGCTTCGCACGTAACCTGAGCGTCCCGCACCCGAGGCGTCTTTGTTTTATTTAGATTCATTTTTAATAAACTAGATCTCTCTCCTCAACCTGACTTCGGCACGGAAGGTGGCATCTGTGTTCTCTTCGCCAAACTAACATAAAATGAAACTCTCATCACGTGTTAAAGCACCTCTATTGGATTTGGCATAGTGTCCAGAAGGGTGATTTTAATGGACAATCGATGAAACACTTAAAAAACTGCATTACTTTTTGTTTCTAATACCCGTTAGGTGATGAAGTTTTAAGTAGGTCATAATGTTGCTTGAGTACAATGTCTGTCCAATCGGTACTCTTTTACAATCTAATAATTTTATTTACGTCTACTCCAAAGCTTTTGTTTGTAGTTTTCGTCGTTAAAATCTCCTGTGCGATAAAAAATATCAGCATCAAATTGTTGATCCAGATTTCAGCATAATTCTTGTGATATAATACAAGTTTTTTCATTACAATATACTGCTGGTTCTTCGGTAGTATATCGTAAGCTTAAGACGTTTTGACTGAGGGGTTGGAGCGGTGATCTGTCGTAGTTTCTAGGGCCGGAAAATAAATCCTACAAGAAAGGGACAAATATTAAACGCAATTTAACCGTAAAAAATGAAATCTTGTGATAGACTGCTGCGCTGCAATATGTTTCGATGTACCACAAGAGCGAGCTTGCGCGCTACCCTGGTGACGTGATGGGAAATGGGACGTAACCATAGCACTTTCAAAAGGTCCGCCTCCTTGTTAACATATACGAGGAAGGAGCAGCGTTCGGTTATCCGAATTTTTGGGCGAAGAGCACGAAAATTCTGCGAATATTTATCGCAGGATGCTAAAGCTGTGCGGAGATGCCTGTGTATCTCTTCCGCAGTTGTACAAGTGGCACAAAAAGTTTCGAAGTAGAGCGTCCAGTTTCACGGTCGCACCTTGCTCCGGCAGGGCTCACACTTCAACGACGCCGGACGCAATATTTGCAGTGGAACGGCTCAAACACGGGAACCAGCATGTCACCATCGATGACGTGGTTGACGAAAATAATATTAGTCACGACTAGGCGCACCATATGATTCATGATATTCCAAAGTACCACAAAGTAGCCGCCAGGTGAGTACGAATACAACTTAGGCTGGACCTTAAGAAGCAGCATGTGGATACTTGTGGGGCGCTACTGCGACGCTACGAAGTCGAGGGGATGAGTTTCTTCGACGGATTGTCACCATTGGTGAATGCTGTATACACTACGCTCAGCCAGACACAAAGCGAGCAAGCAATGATTGGTGACGCACAACGTCACCAAGTCTGAAGTTCAAGACAGCGCCAACGAGGGGAAACCTAATGCTCAAGCACGTTTGGGACCATAAAGGCCCGGTAGTTGAACATTTCATGCCAAAGGGACTCAGTGCAAACAAAGCAGCATACCGCAAGATGCTTGCGAACCACTTAAAGCATGCAGTAAAGTTGAAGCGTCGCAGATTGCTCCCCGCAGGGGTGATCCTGCAACACGACAATTCGCCCCCTCACACGGCACGTGCGAGAGCGGTAAAATGCAAAAACTGCTCTCCGAGTGTATTCCGCACCCAACATACTTGCCAGACCTCATAGCTCGTGATTTGTACCTATTCTTTACCCTCAAAAGGGTTCTCGGGGTAAAAAGTTTGATACAAATGATGACCTGTAAACGGCGGTGCATTCCTGGCACCAAGGTCAGCCGCAAGATACACGAAAAAGAATACATATAAAAAAGGAAAATCATTTTGTCACAGTTACGCAACCATGGAGCAGGAAACAACCATTATTCATGCAATCTATATGACGCAGGACACAAAGCACGATATACATAAGAAAGCAAATAAATTGTGTCATAGTTACGCAGACATGGGGCAGAGAACAGCCACTAGTAATGCAGGTGATATCAGTGCACAATAAATAGTCTGCGCAAAACCCGCGTTTTTGGGTAGTTTTCTTTTATTCTTTCTGATATCTTCTTTTTCGCGTTAGGTGTGCGTCGCGGCGCCATTTTTTCTAAGCGCGTTTATTTTTACGTTTATAGTAGTGGGTCGTGTCCCGCGCATCACTGGTAAGGTTGCGGCCATTTACGGTCCAGCCGGTACACTTTCGTGCAGAAAATTTGGACCGTGTGCAGGGCTTTGGAGAAATTTATTAAGAATAAAAAGTGTAAAATAAGGCTTTCAGCAAAACTGTTCATGAACTTTATCACGAAATTCGTATAAGGCCTGGAATGCAAAACAATTACCCAGCTATTTGGTTAATTTCTTTAGAGGGCATAGAGGTTTTTGGAGGGGAATTTATGGAAATAATTTTGTTGATTATTTGATGTCACGTAAACTGGTATCACGAGACGTGGTCGCGGAATATGATGTTAAAGCATCCAGTCATACTCTCACATTAGACGCGACCTAGAACGTTGTAAAATTACTCTTGAATTCTACTTACCCGCTAAACTTATCGGAAACATATATGCTCAGCCTGACGCATAGAGAGACGGACAGGTATTTGTGAGAGTTTGTGCTTTGTTATAAAAATGTTTCCATGCTTTCTAATAACAAACAAAATAAGGTTCGAACAAATTATTTTTCAATGGTGACTTACACCACAGCAATTTGGAGTTTATTTATAAATGTGAACTCGTAACAGTGGGCAATTTCTTTTTTCAGATAAACGTTAATGGGAACTGATTTTCTTCTTATATAAAGAATGTTACTCATAACTTTCCTCTCGATGCTTCTTATGTGCACATTTCAAAAAGGTAAGTTGAATTCAAATGAAACACATATGCAGTTGCCTTCAAACACTTAGCTATTTACACTCTTAAGCGTGTAACAAGGATGTTTTAGTCACACAAACATCTACAAGCTTAACAAAATCTTCTTTTAAATAATATTTATTTATGTTAATGAAGTAGGATTCTATTGAACTTTCATTATTCATTGTTGCAGGGTGTAAAAGAGCGTTGAAAAGTGTGTTCTACGTTCAGGGTGCGACAACATATCCACTTCAGATATCTATGGCGGAGGTTCTTTTAGCGACAGCATTGAATAATTATTGCTGTACCCATCCTTGTACGCAAGACATACGTTCCTTAAACTTTGAGACATTAAGTTTTCTAGAAAATATTCACGATCATCAAGCACATAACCCTAACCTTTATATTTTAAACTTCGTGTAATATAGCGGTTGAGCACTCAAAAGTTACATGATTGCAGTCTTCTCCGCGCTCCATTGCGTATCCATTTTCTGGTCACGTCCATATATTACCTGTATGAGGTGCGTTCTCCTTGCGTATTTGATGCTCGAAAAAATGATATGAGTCGCCAGAAGCCTATTTTGAGGTGTTAACCAGTGCACTTAAAATGTTCCTGCGAGAAGCTGAATCACACCTTAAATGAAAGAGTAAAAACCCTCCCCTTCTAGCCTTTAACCATCTAAACATAATATGTACGTTCAAATTTAGCACAGCCCCCCCCCCCCAAAAAAAAAAGAATAAGTAAAATAGCCATATAAGTTTGCGTCTTATTTGAGCCATTCGGATAATATGTGTCATTTATGGATCAATGTATTTAAATAGGAGCATGTTCGTAAAACTTCTAAAGTCAAAATGAACCCGCAACGTAAATAGTGAGTGATTCTTTTTTACGAAACTTTCGCACGTGCCATACCAACGCACTCTAATAAATTTGGAAATTCAGAATCCCTAGGAGCAAGTTGGAAACATGCTCCCATTTCTGGGTTAACGTCACACATAGAGACATGTTTTGCAATTGCTCTGTGCTCAATATATGTTTAGAAACGTAAACATAGCGCAGATTTGCTTTGTAAGTACTGTTTACTTTGTAACATCTCGAAATAATAAAAGAATATTTTGTACAATTTTTTTTTTGACTGCAAAAAAAGAAAAAAGGAAAAAAAATACGCATCGCCGATAGCTTATTTTCTATACAAATTTAAACCTCACGGTCCGAACCAGAATCCATAGTTTCAGAACGCTCCGTTACCTTATTCAGAAGTTACAAGTTATTTTCTTAAATTTTCAATTTTCAACTTGCGTCCCAATGAGTATTTGAATGCGTGGTGTTGAATGGCCACGACCAACATAGAATGGGAGATAACGAGCTTCATTTTGCCACTGAAAGTTTCATGAAATTACTTAAGTTTGAGTCAGAAAACAATTAGGTCTGAAACTTTGGCATCTAGGTCTAGGCATTAGCTCTACATTTAGGCGGAGAGTGCAGTTCCAGAGATCTCTCTCTCTCAGCGCCGTACCTCACACATACAGACCAACTACAGCAATGCTTTGCCGTACCTCACACATACACACCAACTACAGCAATGCTTTTCCCCCCTCCCCCAGTCCCTCCCTTTCCTTCCTGTTGGCCGCCGCTGTTCCGAAATAAAGAGAAGATCACAGGATATAGCGCTATCCGCGTCCCCATGTTTCCTGCTACATTCACGCACTCTCCGGGGAGGCACACATTTTCTCCTCCAATCCGGCAGCCCACCGTCGCGAAATACCCCTGTGGCCATGCTGGGGCGACCGGCCCTCTCGCCTTGCCATGGTCTCTGCCCGGTTTTCATTGCAAACATTGTACAGTATAAAGGCTTAAAGTACATCTTCCACGTGCCTTTATATAACGCAGCAGCTGCCGCTGTCAATCCTAGCAACACTTTGTGTGGTCGTTTGCATTTTTTTTTTTTTTTTTTTTGCGGTGCAAAAAGCATTTTTTGTTTGAGAGGAGACATTGCACACTTCGAACCACGCACTTAAAAATATGCTGGAAATTGCAGTGTCACTCTAAATTGACACTGAAATCTAGAGAGTGTTTAACTGTCCGGATGAAAGAGGTATCTAAAAAGTACGCCCTCAAAAAGAAGGAAACCAAACATTTAGCACAATATTGAGGTCGCGATACCGAGTAATATCGTGGGGTATTCTATAATATGATTCTGTTAAGGGTAGATGTGACGAAGGAGAAGGCCTTGTTGGGAACGGCTTTTCACTGAAAATATTTCTAACGAAAACATATCGCTCTTTACTTGTTTTCGGGGAGAGTTGTTTCTGTGACATGCTTGTCATAATTCATGTTTCAACGATACTGTTGGAAAGCTAAGTCAAAATGAAAGCGATTTCAAAGGTTTACTATTTCGTGCTAAATAGTAGCACGTTTCGGAATCGCTCCTCAATCTTAAGATGTCTCGTTACCTAAATATTGCGGAAGAACGTATTTTTAGAGAGCTGCTATTAGACAAGCGTTTCTGCGAATGGCGGCGTCGCCGTCGCCGTCGGCGCAACCGCCTTGCTAACTTTAGCGGGAAATTAAATTGGTGTTGAGGTCACGTGATGTCAATTTTGCTGCTAAACATAGCGTAGAAAATCATTTTGTTCATAGGTGACGTGACACGATGTCATGGGACGTTATATTCCACGCTAACTTTAGCAGGGAAACTGAAGGTTTGTTGAGGTACCGCGGCGTCCATTTTCCAGCTAAATTTAGCGGGAAAACGGTGGGAGAAAGGGAGAGTGTAAAGGAGAAGGAGGAGAGGGTACGTATTAGGGGGAGGGCAGGAGGTGGAGAAGAGGAGAGAAGGGGGAGTAGAGAAGGATGACGGGAGGAGAATGAGAAGGAAAGGAGGGCAGGAGGGGTGGATGAGGATAGGAGGAGGAGAGCCGGAGGGGAGGAGGAGAGGAGAAGGGGAGGGTACGGAATAGGAGGGGTGTACCCCCTCTGTACCCTAAACTCTTCCTCCTCAAAAGCTGCGCTCTGATTTCGCATTACAGATATTTGTAAACGTCTTTCATTTCTTAGAGGGCAGCCCTTAGGAGCCCATTTCCGAGTTGAGCCGCGTCGGCGTTTCTGTCGCCGTTGGCGTAAGCGCAACCGCGCTAAATTTAGCGGAAAAAATGACATCAAGTGACTTCAACACCAATTCCATTCCCCGCTAAATTTCGAGGGGAAAATGACAACACATGACATGATGTCACGTCAACTTTGAACAAATTCAGTTTCTTCGCTAGATTTAGCGGGAAAATTGACATCGCGTGACCCCAAGAGCAATTCGATTTCCCGCTAAATTTAGCACGAAAATGGAGCTCACGGGACCTCAACGCCAGTACAGTTTCCCCGCTAAATATAGAGGGGAAAATGACGTCAAATGACTTGGTGTCATGTCAACTTGGAGCGAATTCGGTTTTTCCGCTAGGTTTAGCGGGAAAATTGACGCCGCGTGCGGAGGAGGAGAAGGGGAAGGTATCGCGGAAGGTGAGGGGAGAGGAGGAAAATGAATGAAGAAAGCGGCGACGAAGAGGAGAGTAGGAGGATGGCTTGAGGAGAAGAATGGGAGAGGAGGAGGACCGGTGGAGGAAGAGGGGCTAGAAGGAGGAGCAGCAGAAGCAAGACAGGTGGATGAGGAGGAAAAGTGGAGGGGTGTAGGAAATAACTGGAGGTCTAATAAAGGAGGAGGAGGAGGAGGAAAAGGATTAGTTTGGAGGAGGAGAAGGGGGAGAGGAGGAGGATTAGGGCAACATTTTCTAGAAATAAGGCCGTAGCGCTCTTCCCGTGACGTGGCGAAGGAAGGCCATCGGGGCGCGAGTCGAAGCGAAGGCAACGCGCGTAGATCGACCGTCGTAACGCGCTTTTCATCAAATACGTGTGTCTTATTAGCTAAATTAAAGCTGCACATTGCAACGGGTCTAAGAAACACTTTATTACACGGGCAAACATTACACCGCTAAATAATCGATGCGAAATGGCACGAGGTATGCGTAGAAGTCTATAGAAAATTGTGAGTGTTTTAAGTAGAAAATATTGAGTCACGCAATTATTGCTGTAGGAATGCATATTTTATACGCAAATATTTCAACAAAATGGCGAGACACGCAGTGATTGGACACAGCAATACAGATCAGTTCAAAATCAGGCAGACGTAGCCAACGCGGACACGGCTCGACAAGTGATCGTAAGTGACACACTTACGATCATGTAAGCGCTGTTATCGCGTGCAGTCACTGAATTAAAATTAATGTAATTTAGATCGAATGACAATATGGGTCCGACAAATCAGCTTGGGACGCTCATATGATCACTCAAAACAGCGAGCTGATTAAATGGCAGGGGTACTAAACTTACTATTTACAGTCAACAAATTTAATTCTCCCTATGGGCTCAAGTTGCCTAAGAACAAAATATAACCTATTTTGCATACAATAATAATATTACCTTAAAACAGTTAAGATTCTAGTATAAACGCAGTAAACGCAACAAAATAACATTAGTATAAATAAACAGATAAACACAAACAATGCACTTTTAATAATCACACAAACTTGTTATTTACATTCCAGTAAAAACTAGAATATTACCACGCATATTTACAAATGTCGACGCAATAGCAAACGGATAACGACGAGGAACAAAATTACATTCTATCACGAGATGAAGAAAAAAAAACAAAAAACGACTGCAGTACTTTACTTGCGTCTTACATGACCAAGAAAGCCCGTAAATAAGTTGTTCCTCACCTGTCGATCGTATCCGTACGTCCCACACGATCCATCACGAAAATATTTGAACACGAACTTCTAGAAGTATCTCTCTGTCGAGAGAGAAGTCACCGACCAGTGTCATCGTTGACTAGTTGCCAAACATGTCACTCAAAGCGTAGCTGGACTTGTTTCGCGAATCCACGTAAATGCCGTAATATCAAGCGGACGCACACAAAAAAAAAAAAAAAAAAAAATCTACCCGAGATTGCGGTGACGACAAAAAAAAACAACAAAAAACGACGGGTAGGAGGATCAAAAGAACCTCACACACACGCGAGAGCAGCACCAGCAGTGTGGGACGAGAGGCTTAACATTATCGACCCATCTCTTGCTCGTGTGCGCTCCCTCCCTGTGGCGATGAATGGATATTTTTTTCGGTTCCTTTCCCTTGTGAAATGTCTCAGCGTGCCTTTGCAGGCAGTCAGCAGCTCACACACAACGTAAATTTACCTGAATCAGAGCTCGTACGAGGGAAGAGGATGTCGCATAGGAAATTCGGAGCCGGTTCATTCGAAAAGTGTGGGGAGCTGCGGGACTGCGCGTAGTCCCGCGGTTACGGGGATAATCATAAATATAAATTTGGTACTTTCAAACTTGGTAAAGCGTTGTATATTACGTTTATATTATATATATATAATAAATTGTACAAGACTCCGCTTTTAAAACGTGTATTAATGTCGGATAAACGCGCACAGACATTACCGCGCCGCTCGAGAAGAATCCCTTTTTTCACGTCGAGACGCGTCGACAGCAGACATTTTCTCACGTAATTGCGCCATTGCCTTCCTTCTTCCGACATTGTGACGTGCCCACTCGGAGCGCTACGGTCTTATTTCTAGGAGGTGTTGGTTAGGGTAGAAGGGAAGAGGAGGAGAAGAAAACGAGGAGAGGGGAAGGAAGAAAGGATGTGAGGACGAGGAGCAGAGGAGGAGGGGAGGAGGACGGGTGGACAAGGAGAACAAGGAAGAGGGAAATATCCTCCACCTCTGTACTCTCCCCTCTTCTTCAAACGCTGCGCTTTAAGTTCGAGTTACAAAGATTTGTAAACATCTTTAAATATTTTTACGGGGGCTTTAAATTTTGACATGCGTTTCCTACCGCTTCACTGAGCAAAAATAAGGCGGGAGAGTTCATTTTTAATGGGCTCGAAACACTTAGTTTTATAGATAAATAAATAAAAAAAAGTCGCAAGGAATCAAAAACTTAGTCGTCCCCCCCCCCTTTTTTCCGTTTTCATAACGTTTAATAAATTTATATGATGATAATTGTAAAGCCTTTTGTCGATGTTGAAAGAGTGCCTCCAGTGTAAAGCTGTTAGAGAAATGTAAAAACAAAGCAAAACTTCATAGATGAAGAAATAATAAATGCACTTTTAGTCACTTATACGAGTTAACTGGTGGCAAGCGTTCGAGGCGAATCAAGGAGTTCCAAGATAAACATTGATACTCTACCTTCAGCACTTCAACTGCAGAAAACAAAAAAAAAGGTGAGACTGGAGATGCCAAGAGTAATGACATCCTAAACTTTGCATTAAACTTTACGTGTTTTCTTTGCGTCGTACGTATTACAACTTGAAATATCTCTATTGTGTTTGTAGCCATTTGCTACACAAGGTTTAGTGCAGTGCTCAATAATTGAGTCGTGTTCAGTGCAAGTTATGGCTATGTATCATTGTTCCGTTTTAGGGGAGTCGTCTTCGTGGCCCCTTGACATAGAGAACGAGTGCACGAAACTTATCAAAGAAGGAGGAAAAATTGCATGCAATCTCACAGGAGAAGGAGTAAGTTTCCGAGCATAATACACATAGTAAATTTTAAGTAAAATATTTTTGCAATGGCAGAATATGCCTATCGTTTTATTTTGATTTTCTTCCGAACACCGGAACACATTTGAAGCAAAGACTGGCATATTCCAAAACAACTTAAAATGTACCTCGTCGCCGGCTATAAAACATCGAGACATGACACCGTGACAATGAAAAAACTGCATAGAACATAAAATAATTTAGTTCTGCGGAAATGAATAAAACCCAATTTTGTATATCGAGTTCATTCCAAACTTACCGACTCTCTCGGCGAACTTCAAGACAGAACAGATTCGCCGTAGAACGCCTCTCAAGAATTTTTAAATAGAGCATCACTCCAGAAATGATGTTTGCTCGCGGAATAGATGCGCCATGTGGATATTTCTTGTTATATATTATAAAGTCGAAAACCTAATTTTACTAGATTTTTTCGAGTAAATCATCCATTCCTCTCACATTGTGTTAAGCGTGACAGTAAACATAGAGTCTTACCATAACTTAATGTGCAATTTGCGACAATGCAACAGAAGTCTAGACAACTCTTAACACCACCAGATCAAATTGACCGCAAACGTTAAATAACACACGCGTTGTTTTCTCTATCTTGCTTTTCTCGAGCATGCCGTTGATAAGTGCTTCCTGCAACGATTGCGGATATGGTCACAGAACGCGACTACATTAGTTGAGGGAGGGTTCAGATGAGAGGGAAGGGCTCAAACCTTTTATGGTTGGCACGGACTCATGCTTAAGTGAATCACGAAAACAATCATTTAGTGAAATAATCCGCAATTACTGGAGGCCGATTACCTCATGAAATTTCTGCTGGTGGCCCGACCACGTCGATAGGCACCCACTCAAATGGCACACCGACGTTGTACCCCATCTTCTTCCGACAACTGCACGGACGTCCTTTGCGCAGTGCACCGTGCTCACTCCTTTTGCCTCACTAGCACACATCATGGCTGGTGCCAAACCAGCAGATTTTGTGACAAACCCATTGTAGGGTTTTGTGAACCCCAACATGTCCACCGGTACGCCTATCATTGAGTTTCTGTGGCACAGATTTGAGTGCACTTGAGTCAGCACTAGATAAAGGGACACGTGTACTTCGTCGCTGCTTTCGCAGCAACGAAAAAGGAGGTCCTTTCCTATAAAGAGAGAATTTATCCTTGGTGGGTGCCCATTGACGTGGTAGTGGGCCTACCGTGTCAATGGGCACCCACTCAAATGGCACACCAACGTTGTAGCCTATCTTCTTCCGACAACTGCACGGACGTCCTCTGCGCAGTGCAAAGTGGTCACTCCTTTTGCCTCACTAGCACACATCATGGCTGGTGCCAAACCAGCAGATTTTGTGACAAACACATTGTAGGGTTTTGTGAACCCCATGTCCGCCGGTACGCCTATCATTGAGTTCGTGTAGCACGAATTTGACTGGCACTTGAGGCAGCACTAGATAAAGGGACACGTGTACTTCATCGCTGCTTTCGCAGCAACGAAAAAAGAGGTCGTTTCTGATAAAAAAAGAATTTCATTAGACCCGTTAGGTTTGACAATGGAATTGTTTGGCACAACAAGGCAGCATTCTTGGTTTAGTCACTCTATTCAGAGGGATAGTCGTCTGTTACTGGTCGCGTCAATACCGCCTGCTGTGTGACGGTTGACTTAAATTGTAAACTTGTGTGGCTGGTGTCGGAGCGCATTTCAGTATAGATACACAAGAGACGAATTTTTTTTTTGAGCAACCCAAGCAGCACACCATTGTTGGACCAAGATGGGCCTTCTGCTGGCAAACATTGGCTCGAATATTGGCCTTACGTTGCTTTTCCCGAAAGCGCTGCCCGGTCAAATTCTAGACCTTTCACAAATTCCAACAATTCGACCAATATTTAAATCAATATTGGACTGTCATTCGTGCCATTTTATCCCCGCAGGGGGCACCTGTGAAAGCAGGTGTTTGGAGAGTGGCGTCTTCACGGACCCCGAGCCATGCGGGTTCGCCCGCCCACGTATGGCTGTGCGTGGCTTTCCCGTGTCCGGGGAAAAGGGCGTCCTGGTGGTTGAGCCGAGCGCGGGGTAGGTTTGGACTCTTCGGGACCCCCCGGGTGAGGCAATACACCACTTCGGCCCCTGCTTCTCGTAGACGGGAGTCCTGGTAAGGCCCGGCAAGGATGATTCAGTCTAGTCGCCACTTCTACTATCCCCTCTCTACTTTCACCCTTGTTTTCTCCTCCTTTTCACTCTTCCCATTTCTCTTCTTTCCTTTTCAACTCCTTTGGCTGCAAAGACTAACCTTGGGTGGCGACAGACACCTTGTCCAGAACCACTCTTGGTTATAGAGACTGGGCAGCACTAATAGAGTAACGTCTTCAGCCAAGCCATTCTTGTTATGGAGCGTTACCTATTCCCTTGTGGCGGGCGGTGCACCACAGTTTCCGAAAACTCTCCCCCTTCATATGGGTTCCAAGCTTAAACCCTTTGATCGGCCCCCCAAAAGGGGTCGCACCGAAGCACTGAACACGATGAAACAATCTTTTGTACTGCAGAAATTCCCGGAGTTCCTTGTTATGCACTCAGAAGGTGACAAGCCACTTGGCAAACTTTCTCCCTTTCTGGTCTCCTAAGTTCTTGAGGGTGTTATTGGCGCCAATTACAATGCAAAGAAGATGGGATCTGATGATCTCCTTGTCGAGGTCAACACAAAGCAGCAAAGTGATGCCGTTCTTAAACTCAACCTTGTCTCCGACTAGAAAGTAAGCGTCAGTCATTAACGCAAACTGAACAGTGTTCAAGGGGTCATTTCTGAGGATGACTTGCTTAACTCACCTGAGCCAGAGATAACTGAGGGCCCCTCTGGTCAAGGAGTTATAGATGCACGACGGATCACTATCCGCCGTGATGGTGTGGAACGGAAGACAAAACATATCATTTTGACTTTCGATTCAACCATTCTGCCGCAGACTGTAAAGGCAGGTTACCTCCAATGCCGGGTTCGACCTTATGTGACGAACCCTCAACGGTGCTTTAAGTGCCAGAGGTTCGGCCATGGGTCACGGAACTGTCGGGGAAGGGACACCTGTGCAAAGTGCTCCAGCAAGGAGCACGTCGCAGATGTGTGCGATAATGAGCCTCATTGTGCGAACTGTAGTGGCAAGCACCCGGCATACTCTCGATCTTGCCCTGTGTGGAAAGACGAGAAAGAAGTTCTTCCATTAAAAGTTACTGAAAACATCACCTACACTGAGGCAAAGAAGCGTTTTGCTTTTGTATCTAAAAGGTCTCATGCCGAGGCCGTGCGCATGGGACCAGCGCTGCCAGTGGTTTCGATGGGAACGCAGACGTCTCCGGACGACCTGCATCTCCCGTCACGGTCCCCCTCTCAACCCCCGAGAGCGGCGCCAGTGGCCCCGCCTCCGAACCGAGAGGTGAGTGCTGCTTTGCCAGCATCCACCCCAGAACAGGAGATGACTTCTCCTGCTCAACCAGCTGCTTCGACCTCTCGGGGCAGGGGACTACCTCCGCACACCTCTGCTCCCCAGAGGAAGCCTGGGGAAGTGCCAAGGCAGTCGACCTCCAAGGGCCAGCTGCCGGCAGCTGCAGACGAGCCCATGGACGAGGGTGGGTCGAGATCTGATGAGGAGGCTCTCCTCTCAAGATCAGAGTCCACCCCCTCTGCCTCCGGTGACTCTAATCGGAGGCAGAATAACCCCCCCCCCCCCCCAAAAAAAAAAAAAAAGAACAAAAAAAAACAAAGTGCACCGCGTGTGAAAATAGATTTTAAACCTTAAGGAATATAGCTTTTTAATATAATTTGTATGTTATACTTATTTTGTTTTAAACGGTTAAAAATATAGGTATAATGCAGTGGAACTGCCGCCGTCTTTTTCGTAATGTTTATGATGTCAACTTTTTTTCTCGATGAGCTCCAGCCTGTTGCCATCTGTTTACAGGAGACTCATCTTAATGAAACACATACACAGGTACTACGGCGACATCAGGTTTTTAGAGAAGACCGTGTTTCTTGCAACACCTCTTCTGGTGGAGTAGCTGTGGTTGTGCAGAGTGGTATTGCCTGTGCGCCTGTCCCTCTCGCAACCACCTTAGAGACAGTAGTAGTTCGTGTTCTGCTTGACCGCCTAATTACTATTGTTTCGCTTTACCTTCCACCAAACTTTCCAGTGCATTTACATGACCTGCAAGGACTTGTGGGCCAACTCCCACAGCCTTTTTTAATCTAAGGAGATTTTAATGCACACCACCCCATGTGGGGCAGTGCTCGTCAAGACTCCCGTGGCGGTGTCATAGAACGTTTTTTACTGTCATCTGGTCTTTGCCTTCTAAACAAGAGACAACCAACTTTTTTTTAGTGCACCTCATAATACTTTTACTTCCATTGACGTTTCCATAACATCACCTACTTTACTTTCTTGTTTTTCTTGGAAGGTTTTAGAAAATCCTTTTGGTAGTGACCATTTTCCTGTAATTTTAGAAAGTTCAGTATCCCTTCCTTCTCTTCGAGCTTGTGCTCCCAACTGGAAGTCAAATAAAGCCGACTGGGCTTTATTTTCTCTGCAGGCAGTCGTCGATCCTGCTGTTTTTTTAGCTATGTCTCCTGAGGAAGCGACTCTTTACCTTCCTGAAAAAAAATATAAATGCCGCTTCTCTGTCAGTTCACCGAACTTCTGGAAATATTCCCAAGAAATGCAAGCCTCGGTGGAACAAGGACTGTACAACCACCATAAAAGCTCAGGATAAGGCTTGGGGAAGGTTTCGGCGGTATCCGACTGTTCAGAACAAGATCGAATTCAAACAGTGTAAAGCAAAAGCTCGTTGGACACGAAAACAAGCCAAGAAGACCTCACGGGTGAAATATGTATCCTCTCTAAACAGTTTTGTTCCTGCAAAAGAGGTATGGGATCGTGTTCGGAAAATTCGGGGTACTTACCACTCCTTCAGCGTTCCCCTCTTTCCTTCAT